AATATCCTGAGGATACTGCTCTTGATCTCATCGGTTGCGCCGAACCCGTTGTCCCCAATGGATTCATGCATGTGCGATAATCAGTTTGAAAGAGCATGGCACACATTTTTCTGTATTCATCTTTACTTTTATTTACATTCCTTTTATTGAATAGATACAATTTTCTTCAGCAAGAATGAGGCACCTGTGTAGTGAAAATCGACAGCAGTTGCGCAATTTGAACGAATAACCTCCGAGACGCTAAGCTGGTAAACTTAACAGCTTAGTCATCGTTGTCTACCTGCTTGAACGTTGTTCAAAAATAAAAAAGGAAGTGGACATGACAGATTTGTGAGAGACATGCGGGAAGTGGCAGATTCGATTTGGTCCAATGGTGAATTTCGTTAGGTAAAGAAGTTATGAAGTTTGAACCTAAAAGTTAGGAAGCACTGTCCAGCTATTTCGACCTGGATGGATCTCATCAACAGTGCGAATCCGTCAGCTCAACTGAGGATCGAACCTGCGATTTCACAAGCAGAAAGCAAGCATACTACTCATTTGTCGATTGGGCAGCACCGTGTCAGACTATTTTCATTTTCCTTCTATGCGTACAAGATGACCCATATTCGCGAGCTTGGCCATCTCTGAGATCTACCGCCGCTGCCGCCGCCGCCGCCGCAGCAGCAGCAGCAGGTTATGGCTTATGCTACTTCAAATATAAGCTAAACAATTAGGTTTGTTAATCTGTGATTAAATGGGCGCATTGAAAAACAAGAACAGCATAGCCTGCCTTTTTTGCGAATGAATATAAAAAATGGTGAACACAAAATGCGTTGGAATTTGTGATAACAAGGACTTGGCATGTTAGTGATGCATAATAGAAACATGTCTTAATATTAGTTAATAATTATCCGTAGATGGATGCCTTATATTTTCTATTTTTTTCTTCTCTGTCTGCTCCTCACTTGGATTCATCTGATCCGGTAGTTGATGGTTATACTGGACAAACAAGTCCTCGATGCCTCGTGGTCGAAAGTGAAACCACCTGTTCATTGCACTATTGAGCAAGTCAAGATCATCGGGGTGATTTACCATCCGGTCACAGTCTCGGGACATGCATATCCGGCGGGTTTGGTTGAACAATACGTTTTGGTCGTCCTATCTATCACACGACTATGATTGACAGGATCGGGGCTAAACATACAGTCAGTCAGTCTCTCATCGTTTATACAACATATAGTTCGTGTGCATGTGAATTTGGCCCGAAGCTGGAGAGTCGAAGGAGTAATTTGTGTATGGGGGGGGGGTGAGACAGGAGGTGGTTCGGCCATGTAACGCCTAGCGTGACTGATTCACCGTATATTTTGCGTGAATTTTTCACTAGATCTGGTCAGCCCATTTTGGTCCCAAACCACTGCACGCAATAATCCTAAACCTTGGTTAGGTTTACGCTATAAGCAGAACCAAGTGCCAATTGGTCGTTCCATCAAGGTCACATATGTGATAGTGCATTTGATAGACCGAACAAATAAGTAGTAAAGTGCGATTAGCTAAAGATCATATTTGGAAAGGCAGTATCAGAATACAGCGGCAAATACGCACGATAGCAACGGTGAAATACATTCAGACATTTCAGACCCTAATCAGATGGAAAACCAAAATGATCAGATCAAAGCAACGAAGAACAAAGGAACAAAACAAATAAAGAATCGCAATCTACTATGAATCGGTTATCCAAGATCACACTCTGCGATCTTCATCAGACTATAATGGGATTATAAGGTTGTCCACACGTGGTATCTCCTTCACATTATTCCAACCTTCCCCCAAACTGAGGTTTTAAAGGCTTAAAATTCTCAACCTCTAAAACCAGCTGCTTATACACATGTTTAAAAAAACAAGACTATAAACCGAAACGAGGACCGGGCAGGGTAAGATGAACAGTGGTCTATAACCATTTTACCGGACATAATAACAAGGGGGTCGTGAACAATCACTTGAAAATTCATTTGAAAATTAAATAAGAGCGTAATAGAAAACACCATTCTGCCGAGCCTCTACCTTTCACCCTATCTGTCCGGTACTGTTCTGTCGTGTCCCGATAAAAGCAACCGTTTAATGAACGCATACGGTAGAAAGACCATTGAAAATCCGAAATGCTTTTGTCTACTCACCGCGCTCCGGTGTCCGTCGTGAGTCATTTGGACTTAGGTAGGCGAATTCGTAGAAATACGTTTGGGTCGAAAAAGCTGCATGGAATCGCAGAACCGCATCCAATGGTGAATTGATGACGTAGTCAGAAATAAGCTGAAACAGGAATTGAACAGAGGAAACGCAATTTTGAAGGGTAACCATAAAGTAAAAAAATAGCATACGCCGAAAAACCTATCCTGAAACAAAAACTAATCCACATGAGTAAGTTTGGTTGTTCAGGGGCGTACCACGCATGTCCTACCCGATAGAAGTTAACTAATATTGTGGATTAGTATCGACCACCAATGCTTCGAATACTTGGGTTGACGGCCAATTTACATTCTTCGCTGTTGAGAAGAAAACTGATTGGTAATCTGCACCGAGTATGCCAGTATGGTCGAGAATGGGAGATGATGACTCATCCCTTGCACCTCTCAAAATGCTTCTGTAAGACCAAGCATCTCAAATAACCTCTTCTCAGAAAACCCCACTCACTGCCCTCCGGTGGTGGAGGCATTTTCCCACCAAAGTGAGAGAACGAAATGCCAACATTCAGTGTTATAACCGAGTTGGTGAACCACTGGAGATCATCCTAGGGTAGCTGGAAAAATATCCTAGTTCTGAACCAACCAAGAAGTGTACGAACCATACACATATTTCACCGGTTGCGGCAGTGGTTACAGCCTCGATCGGGTATTGAGGTGTATTGATTACCTTGCATGTTTGAACCCGTCCAAAGCGCGTATGATCAGGTGAACTGGACACCGGCCTCCAATATTGGTAAGCTTGATGAGTCCATCTCACTTGACAAATTTTAGCACTCGCCTCCAGGGATTTGGCCTCGGTAGGAAAAATTCCGAATCTGATTGTTTCATGTTGTGGAGAATGTGTTTTGCGAATGGTTTCTTACGGGTGAAGCGAAGAACAGCTGAACAATACTACGACAGGTAACATTATTTGTTACATGACAGTTGTGGAGGATGAATTGAATTGATTACACAGTGAATTTAATCGTGTCCAGAACAAACGAAGCGTGAAGCAAACACTTAAGAAGTACTACGTAGTAGTCAAAGTAGGCACAGTTCACAAAATACGAGTCCCGAACCACAGACATAACTGAAGCACTGAATCGCACTAACACTTGCACGCTGGAATCTCCCGTAACCGAGACGCAGGACAAAAGCCCCAGAAGAAACAGTTCGTTTATTGAGCGCAATCAATGGGATTAAATAAGATATGCAAAGGAAGTTGGTTGTTTATACGGGTACCCACAAATCGCCTGCTTATATTCCCGACGTCTTACAGATTTTGTCCGGACCACACGATTTCTGATTGGTCTGCACGTGTCGTCTATAGTTTGTTGTCCAGAAACTTTGACGCGTCGCTCCGTGACTGGTGTTATCCCATTGGCTAGGATCACCACACACTATCCTACTGTTTCGACCCGCTTTAGGTTTCATCAGCAGTGCGCGAAGCCATCATCAGTACACCTGAGGAGAAAGACAGTTACACAGTACGTTCTAGCTTTTAACTTCATGTTTCATTTATTCTGCACACGACGAAATCCCCTAGATAGTCGATTTAGATCCTTCACTCCTTTCACTTAACAAGCAGTGAGGTGGGAATGTGTCCAACCGAGTCCAACCCTAGAGACAAGTGCTGAAATGAGCGAGGTGTAATGTCTGCATTAAGGCTGTTAGGATGTGCTGTGTTATACCGCGTATATTCAGAATGGAAAACAGTTTGATTAGCTGCCCAGTCGTCAAGTGGGTAGTATACTGACGCTCTACCTGTGAGATCCCGGGTTCAATTCCCACTGGGTTTAATGGATTCGGACTGTTAGTATGACTTTACCTGTAAGGGGTTGGTCATCAAATAATAAAGCTCATGCTACTCATCATCATTTATTCTGCAGAATAAACACTGCCGTGTGTGACACGCTACCTCTCGAGGCTATAGAGAGACAAAAAGCACGCGCGCGAGAGAGAATCGACAGGCATAAGGGAACACGAATGTTCCGCATGAGATTGAATTAGAAGTTTCGAGTACCAAGTCGAATGTACTGACTGATCTTACCGACCGACAAATGTTGCGTGCGAAATGCACAGCGTGGAAAATTATTTGAGGCTGCCATCCATCAGCTGCATGCACGTGTGGAATTCGTTTGGCTGCCAATGGCGAATGGAACACGAAGATGCACACACAAACACGATGTGCACATTAGCATACTACACTTGTCCGTGGCATGGAGGGCCAAACACATCGTAGTTGATTCAGTACGAGTGACTACGCACGCACACAACAGAAGTCATCAGAACAGGATGTCATTGGATGCCCCGGGGTGAAACGGGGGCAACAAAACTTGGATAAAAAAGGGCTCATTGCACAACATCATGTGAATGACCACTGTTCGCTATTCCCACCGGTGCGTTGAGTTACGGGGGGAGGGGCAACGAGTCCGGGAGACTCAACTGATCCGGCAATGAAGCTGAATCTGAATCGCCCAAACTCACAAATGTTTACGACCCATCGTGCGTGAGATTGACCAGATAAAAAATCATGGTGATCCAGTACCCTTCCTTACTCCAGGCAACCTGTGTTGTCCGAACCGTTAAAACATCTTTGTATACATGACAAAGAACGTTCAACTGAGTCCATTCGGACTTGGTTTACTAGAAACGAGCAAAACTATCCAAGTGTATAGACATATTGATAGAGATCAAATCGGTGAGATCGGACACTGTAACAAAGTGTTAATGCCAACTACCCAATGGGTTTTCTCTGAAAACAAGTATGGAACTTTGATTCTATTATTCAGTAGTTCATTGGCTGTAAAACCTAATGTGTGCTAAAAGTACGATGTTGTCATATTGGAGCCTTATTGAAACCGTTCCTCGTGTTTCTGTGACCTATTTTTTCGAAACGGTGCAAACGGTACAAGTGTAAAGGTTCAAACATCTCTGGACCCCCTAGATTCAATGTTGGAGTGCCGAGAGTGTTGGCTCACGTAATAATTACTCTCGAGGTTTTCAACTAGCTGCCACTTGGTGAGCATGCTGTTCATGGAGTGGGTGTATGGGAATATCGTGACCTTTGTGGTTTTGTGCAGGTTGTCCAACGACGAGAGTGTAACATCTCCGCGGTGATATGGGGTTCACAAAAAACATAAAGACCGAATGTGCTCACTGTATGGTCCATTTCGGTCACTTGTGGCAATACACATCCCCAGATAGATGGAATTGTGAATGAGTCAAAATATACCGCCTCCAATCGTGAGCGCATTTACAGCCTCACATTCTTAGGGGGCAAGTACTATCGTTCTTGAATGTCAATCGATGTAACCTACTACCCCATCTGAAGCAGCTCAGAACATTCAGACAAATACCATTGATAATTCTGCTACGCTTAAAGTAGGTTAATAAATCTGTCCTGAATTAAATACTGTCTTAGTGAAACCTTAACCCTCAGATCTGTTTTATTCAAACAGCTCGAGATGTTAAATACCATTCTCTAAATGTATTGAAAGGGTAATTTATTCCGTTCACTTTTATGATCTTCAATAATATTTGATGTTATAGCCAACCAAAACTACAAAAAGAATATTTGAGTATTGAACAGAAGGGTTACACAACGACATAGCGACGGACTGTTCGCCTTTCGAGCATCCGATCAGACGCATTTTCCAATACCTGTATTCGGCTCCCGGCCAGATCACTGCAATCGGGACGTTCAATGCATGCTCCCCGAGAATAGGGTATGCTTGTAACTTCTATTTCAAAATGTATAAGCGTGTCGTGAATAAAGCACAACAATACTTTATTAACCCAATTCACTCGAAATGGTTTTGCAGGAGTGATTTTTGATTTTTTTGTAAGGCGACCTAGTCTGTTGTCACTGAAACGTTTAGCAAGTACAGCACAGCTGGTTCCTGTTCCTTTTAGAATCACTAATGTGTATGAATTGCAGGAAGCATTTGTTTACTGTCTGGTGCAATCCTCTCCCTTCCGAGAAGGTGACGGATGAGCATTGACGGCTTCTGGTGGGACATCAGGGATAGCCAGAGTACGTCGGATCAGAAACCTCNCATTCCTATCAAATGCAGAAATCTGCTCATTCTGAGTCACAATTGTAAAACAAATAAAGATGGTTCGCGGGAAGAGAACTGTTGATGTATAAAGTATAGATACTAATTGTGTCGGGTTTGAAACGGAGTCTGACGACATCGTCCAAGATGGAGATCTGAATGTGTTGACTTACGGCCACCATGTTCTCCCAACGAGCCGAATTATTAGCCAAATTCGGC